AAATAATAAATGATTATCTCAAACTACTTAAAAGCAATTTTTTTGGGGGGGACTTTGTTAGGTCCTGTGTTGATCTAACAGCTTTCTGATCCTGCAGGACTATCTAGAGGCTCTGCTGGGCATCTGCTATGATGGTGTGGAGGGGCTCCTGTATCTCTGCCTGTTCTCTCTGCTGGCAGCCTGTGCCTTCTGTGCCCTGCTGTGTGCCGTCCCACGTGCCTGGACCCTCATCGTCATCAGGTACCATCCACCTTCCTGTTGTGTCACTGCAGTGCATGGCACCTGAGACCATCGGTGTAGCTGACGTGCAATTGGTTGTCCTCAGGGACAGGGATTATGATGATATCGATGAGGAGGATCCCTTTAACCCGTCGAGACGCATCACGGCGTATAACCCCAGCCGAGCTCAAGTTCACAGTTTCTGCAGCTTCAGCAGCAGCATGGGCAGCCAGACGAGTCTGCATCCTCCGCTGCCAGCCACGTCCAGCACACCAGAGTACATGTGAGTGTGTGTGTGTGAGAGAGAGAGAGAGAGAGAGAGAACTGTTGTTTTCTTTCATGCTGACCCACTTACCTTTCTTCCTCTCCGGCAGGAACCAGTCCATGCTATTTGAAAGAAATCCTCGCTATGAAAACGTCCCGTTGATTGGGAGCGGTTCACCACCACCATCGGTATTTTGATTTCAATCTTCCATTTACTGACAGTTTTACTCTATTTCTGTATGTTTGATGGCTTCTGTATCATCAACCATTGGTCTGTTAATGTGTTGTTTTGTTGCAAAAATTGAAACGACTATATACTCAACCCTCATGTCGTTCAACACTAGGGCTCTGCTGATACAAGTATAAATCATTATATATAATATTACTGTTCTATTTATTTAATGAATTTGTTTTCCGTGTACGTTCTGTTAAAATTTCTAAAGAGGTAGGTCTAAATTAGTGTAAACTGGTTAAAACTACTAAAAATTCTCAACTTCATACCGTGTCTTACTGGACAAAAATAAAGCAAAGTTAAAATTGGAATCCAATTCTAATAATGTAATACATTATGATGTGTATCATATCTTGAGATAGTTGCTGATTTTTTTAGCACTGTTACAAACCAGTATGACTTACTTTATTCTGCAGACTATAGAGATATTTACTTTTTGGTCAGTTATTCTTTTAATTATCACTTATACTGAACTATTCAAAGGTTTTGGGTCAGTAATATTTTATGATGAAACGATTTAATGATGAAATTATGCTTCTATTCAGCAAGTATCTATTAAATTAAGCAAAAATAACAGTAAAGGCATTTATAATGCTACAAAAAAATAAATATGTATTTGAATGCTCTTCTTGTTCATAAAAGAATCCCGAAAAAAAATTCACAGTTTCCACAAAAATATTAAGCAGCACAACTGTTTTCAACATTGCTATAATAAGAAATGTTTCTTGATCAGAAAATCAGCATTAGAATGAATTCTAAAGGATCATGTGACACTGAAGACTGGAATAATGATGCTGAAAACTTTGCTTTGCATCACAGGAATAAATTACATTTAAAATATATTTAAATGGGAAATTGATATTTTAAAGTGTAATAATAATACAGAATTTTACTGTGTATATTGTATTTTTGATCAAATAAATGCAGCCTTACTGAGCATAAGAGACTTTCTTCAAAACATAAAAAAAAATCTTACCGCACCCAAACATTTGAACGATATAGTGTATATTCATCATAATTCTTAATTATGGTGAATGTTATGGCATAAGTATCAGATCCATTAAGATTTAATTAATCTTAATGGTTATTAAGGTAACCTGTGTTGAGGGTTGCTTTGTGTGATTGTGGTGTACAAGATCAGGAGAACTGAAGCTGAAAGCAGACATGGAGCATTACTGCCCCCTAAAGTTTCCTTTTATAGTTGAAAATATCCCTGCAGTTATAAAGGGAATAAGGAGAAACTACTATTAATTATTAATACTAAATTATTAATGAAAATTAATTAAAAACAGTCCTGTCTTGATTTAATTTGAAGCCAAATTGTCCATCAGGCTTGTGCAGATTGTGAGGTCTAAGATGAATCAGAAGTGAAAGGGTGTATTTGAGAGGATCATCTAGTGAGTCGTGTTGGTTGATGCATTGCAGAAGGCGTAAAACTAATCACAGGACAGTCCGTAGTCTAATGAACCGATTCCCAACTTCATTTTTAACTGTCAAGACACTGTATTCTCACAATGATATTTCACAGCTAATTGAGTTCTTTTCCTGTCTTTTATCACATTTGAAGTTATATCCTCAGACATTTAGAAACAGTAAGTGCGCCCCTGTCCCTAACAATGGTTCTGCCTTCCTTCAACATGCTGTTGCCCTCTTTGTCCTCATTTCCTTCCTCTGAGGATATCATCACCCACTCCATAAACATTCTGTACATCCCTTTAAAATGTAAGAGCAATGAGCAGTTTTGCTGTCGTCTTTTGCCAAAAATTCATCCGTATTTTTCCAACTCACCTTGTTTCCTCACCTGAAGTCCTGTTCACACATACAGTGATTTTATTTCTGGAGGTTTCCAGGCATTACTTTTTTTTATTATTTCCAGTACAAGGGCAGAAACTAATCAAATAGAGCAGTGAAATTGCTCACAGTAACTCCTCCATCTTGCCAAGTCACTTTGGCTGGTCATTTTGCTCAAAAAAATCAACTCCCATTGAAAATGAGTGATTTTTCTCGGTGCAGATCTCTGTATGTGTTTGTGAATGGGCCTTGAGGGTCTTTTGACTGTGGTTTTCACACATGCCAGTGTCTAATGTCAAACCCCACTAACATCTCTGTTTCTTCATTTTTCTTTTACAACCGCAGTATTCGCCCAGCATGAGGACCACCTACCTGTCTATGACTGATGCCCAAATCAGACACTTCGGGACAGACTTCCAGATGTAGGTTTCCTGGTTTCTCATCCTCAAGGAGTCTCCAGCAACATGAGATGCGTTCCTTTAATAGGTCAAGTAGATGGAGATCTCTCATCTCATCTCAAAGGAGGACACCTGTGGATGTTAAAGCACAAATATTTAATGCATCAAAGGGAGTTCTCAAAGACCGCATGCCATCCAGACATTAAAGTCTCATCTAGAAAGGCAAAGGATACCTCAGAGGTTTGTGGGTGAGCTCTGACCATGTAAATATTCGCTTATTCACCTCAGGGGCTCGTCAGATCGTTAATAAATTGTTTTCTGTGATGGCAGCGAACTGGATCAGCCTGGTGTTTGAGAATCAGAAGAAGATCTTAAATGTTTTTGATTAATACTTTAGCTTAGGGCATGCAAATGGTGATTATAGCTGAAGAAAATGATAAAGAAAGGAAAAAAAACAGTTGCATTTTACTACACAAAGGCCTCGAGCTCCATTATGAGCCTTTATATAATATTCTCTGACTTTTGTACTGGTTAAGTAGACAGCAATATGTTTTGCATGAGGAACAAGGTGTTTTGTTGGTGCCTTTATTTAAATATACTTCTATGCTGTGATTTAGTAGTCAGTTATGTCTGCTATTCATTTCAGACAAAATTTTATGAGGCTCACGGCACAGAACAAAAATAAATATTAATCATATTCTGCAATGGTAGATTTGGAAATGGAAATCACGTACAGTCTAGTTTGTTTGGTTCAAGCTTCTTTAAGTATCTTTGTCTGAATGCCTGTGTATTCAAACTAGATCAAAGCTGGCAAAGCCTATTTTTCTAGTTTAAGCTCTTTTGTGTGACTGACGTACTGTATAGACCTGGACATTTCTAAAGAAATTATTATTATTGAGGTTCACAATACCGCTGTGCAGACAGGAAGCTGTTTATTATCCCAATGAGTGAATGAAAAAGAATAAAATTAGATTAAATTATACATGTTGAATTCTACTACTATTGTCTTTATTTGTCATAATATTTAAAAAGTGCTTTTTTTATTGTTCATGTAATATGTTTTTTGTGACATTTGATTCAATAAATAATTTTTACTGAAAGTTACTTTTTTTATTATTATTCTTAATCCGTTCTGTAATGGAAGCCAATTTCTGTCGTGGAATTAAAAAAAAGGAGAAAAAGTAACTGCGACTTTCCATCTCTCAATTCTCACAGTTCTGAGTTTACATGCCGCAATTCTGACTTTTTTTTCTCAGAATTGTGAGTTTTTTTAAATAAAAACTGTAATTGCAACTTTTAATCTTGCAATTTAGACTTTTTATACCTCACGATTCTCAGAATTGCAATAAATTCAGAATTGTGTGATAAATAGTTGAAAATTTCCCCCCTCAGAATTATGAGTTTATATCTCACGATTCTCAGAATTGCAATAAATTCAGAATTGTGTGATAAATAGTTGAAAATAGCTTTTTTTTAATCCCATGGCTAAAACATTCTTCCATAGTAACATTCATTTAATTTCAGTTCTTGCTGTGTGAAAATGTGGTTTGGTGTGGGGGGAAAAAATCATTCTTTTAACCAAATTATATTTTATAGAGGTCAAAAGTATTCCAAATAAATTACTTAAATGGTTAAATGTATAGTGTTTTGCTCCAAAGCATTCATTACGATTACTATTGCACACTCTTAGGGTTACGGATTTAAACAAATATTAATTTAAAATAAATCTGAAGAAATATTAAACTATGACACCTGCCCTGTCCTGCACCATTTGTGTTGTTGACACGAATGATACCTCAAATGCTTGTCAAAGAGAGGTGTACTATTACATTTATTAAGCAACTGGAATTGCTCAAACTAAAAATGCAATATATTTACACTGAAGGGACCTGAGCCATATCTAATATACATATCATATTGTGCTGTGTTTTGATTATGTCGCTGAAGGTTTCAGTTAATTTGGAAACGTTAGTAATGTTTTTTTAGACACTTGCACAAAAAGAACGACAGGGGGCGGCAAATAGTCACATTATTACTGCATTGCCGCTGCAGTGACTCTAGAGGGCGCAGCTGCATCCATAGACGCTAAATGCGCTTAGCGAGCCACAGCTGAATGAAACACGCCATCCACCGCTCTACACTTGACATATCGAAATACATCTTTTGTGCTTTAAAGTAAATAGTAGCTGGTATTTTATATGAGATGTGATATTAGAAGTAAGGCGGGAATGTGGTTTATTCGCAATGGGAAATGTTTTCGGCAGGCAGGGACGAGTCACCAGTCGAGTGACAGATCAGGACAGGGCGATATTGGTAAGAACAATCAATCAATGAGCATCACACACACACGTGTGTTGGATTTGTGTCCTTACATACACGTGTAGATATAGAGAGCCAACACACTGTAGTGCGTCTGAAACCATTTCAGCCATTCTGAACTGCGAACGAACGGATTAGATCAGCTGTCCTACTTTACACAACACGGAATAGAAATCAGTGTATAGACTACTGTAGAACAGAACAGTATGTTATAGTATACTACAGAACTGAATAGAACGGATGTTACAGAATAGACGGAACACAATAGAATAGATATAGAATAGAGAGTGCAATGGAACAGTGTGCTGTATATTATAGAGGAGAACAGTTTATCATAGAATACAACAGAACACAATCTGTTATAGAGTAGAGCAGAACATCTTTTATTGATTAGAATAAAACAGCACATCATCCATTAGGCTATAGAACATAATGTATTAGAATAAAATGAAACCGAACAGTATTGAGTAAAATAGAATAGAATCACATCTACTATAGAATAAAACATCAGTATCTATTGTATAGCTTAAAAAACACCAATATTTAATCGAATAATAACATTATACAGTTTATATTTTATTTTATAATATTATACAATATAAACTCTTATTTTATAGACCAGTGGTTAGGGCTAAATTAATTTAACTCTAAAATAATGAAAATAACAGTATTTCAATTATTCACACACACACACACACACACACACACATATATATATATATATATATATATATATATATTTATATATCATGTCTAAAAAATTTAATTCTTTAAATTAAAATAAAAAAACACAAAATCAAGATGAAATGCCCTCTTCGGTAACTATTGTTTTCATTAAAGAACATACAGTTGTGGTCAAAATTTTAAGTACACTTTGCATTATCTGCAAAATGTTAATTATTTTACCAAAATAAGAGGGATCATATAAAGTGCATGTTATTTTTATTTTTTTTTAGTTAGTACTAACTTGAGTACTAACCTGGAATTACAAAAGGGGCTGTGGTTAGTTTAATATATCTATACTCACTTTTAATAAGAAAAGTTAACATGGTCAAAATGACAGAAGAAACATTAGAAATATCTTAGCCTATAGAGTCTGCTCTCTTATTAATCAGAACACAGCAACAGTATTTCAGGTGATCCATGTCTGGACTATGATATGTTTTGACAGCTGTTTGTTCATCTTAGTCGAGAACTGACACTTTTATGAATAAGAAGTGTTTCTATAAGTGAACTGTCATGTTTCTGCTTTACATCCTGTCACTGGATCACAGCAACTGAAACAGCAGAGAGATAAACTGAAACAATATAAGAAGAAAATCACATTACAGCTGGAGAAAGAGAGATGTCTGGCCAAACAGCTCCTGAAGGATGGCAAGAAGGAGTAAGACATTTCAGATTACACCGATACAAGTGCACTCATTTTGCAATGCTAACATTAATGATAGCCGATCACCCAGAATCAGCCATCATGCATTGCACAGTGCCTTTATTGTGCTGACGTGGTGCCATCTGCATCGTACATGGCAAAAAGTGATTTCGGTTTAACAGATTCATTAACACGTGTGATTCATGCATTTCACAGACGAGCTCTTCTGCTGCTCAAAAAGAAACGCTACCAAGATCAGCTGCTGGACAAGACGGACGTCCAGATATCCAACCTGGAGCGCATGGTGGGTTTAGATGATGTGGTTTGCCTCCCTAGTGTAGGATCAGAGAGCTGGTAACAATTGGGGGCTCGTCCGGGATTTGAACCCAGGACCTCTTGCGCCCTAAGTGAGAATCATACCCCTAGACCAACGAGCCACTAATTGTTACCAATGCCCTGACCCTAGACTAGGGAGGCACGTATCAATAATAAGAAGGAATATTTCTTGAGCATCAAATCAGCATATTGGAATGATTTCTGAAGGATCATGTTAAAAAACTGTTTTTGCTGCTTAATATTTTTATGGAACCTGTGAAACACAACCATTCAGTTGTTTGGGGTAAAAAAGAATTTAAATAATAATAACAATTATATTTTTATTAAGCAAGGATGCATTAAATTGTTCAAAAGTGACCGTAAACATGTTTCTAATTTACTACAAAAGATTTTTATTTCAAATAAATGCTGTTCTTTTGTACTTTTTGTTCATCAAATAATCTGAAAAAAAAGTATCACCATTTCCACAAAAATATTAAGCAGCAAAAACAACATTGATAATAATAAGGACCATTATTATTAATTGAGCACCAAATCAGCATATTAGAACGATACGGAGTATCATGTGTCACTGAAGAAACTGACTATTTATTTATTTATTTTTGTTTGTTTGTTTAATCATATTGTGGTATTACAAGAAGCATGAGCAATATAAGTTATACTTTAATTATGCCTCATTTCAGGTTCGAGATATTGAATTTGCTCAGATTGAAATAAAGGTCATTGAGGGTTTAAAGGCTGGGAATGACTGTCTCAAGCAAATGCACGAGGTAAGTCTATAGACTGAAGCAAGTTCAAATCACGGATTTGCTGTATTGTAACAAGTGTATGCACCTGCAACAGCTTAGTAATCAGTTATTGGTGGTGTTAAATGCTGTTATTAGGAGCCAAGATGAATCATTGGTCTGTTTGGTGTTGTGCGGTGGGTGGTTTAGTAAGTAGCAGCATGTTTTGGGAACTGTTGGACATTGTTGTAGGATTAAAGGCTTAAACATAAAACTCTTAGATTACAGCAGGCTCGTCTTTGTCTTGTACTGAATCTCCAGAACCCTTTGAACTCAACAACAGAAAAAACTGCCCCTTCTGTAAGTCCCACCTTTAAAGTGCAACTACTTAGTACCTGTTTCTGTGCATTATATTATCAGACAATCTTTTGCTGCTTTTTTAATATAAGTGTTTGGAAGATCTGTGCATTTGATTCCCAAATATACATGTAGAGCATGAGTAAGAACGCCGACATTCACAGTATCATGTGTTGTAGGAACATGATAAACAATTCTGTTCATATTTCACAATTCCAGCCCATATAAGAATAACATCTTTTACATTTCCATTGCTTTATATGAGCACATTTGACTGAAATCTGCACTGTTGACTGATTCATTTCTGTGGGATGTTCTGTAGGGCTTGTCTCAGTGAGCAACAGTAACCGAATGGGGGTGGAGGTTAGCGAAGGGTCAATAATGTTATGAATATATACAAAGTTATTTAATGGACTGAGTGAGCATTTGAATTAAGTATTTTTTTTTTTCTGTTTTTCTTCATCAGGTCATGTCTATTGAGGAGGTGGAGAGAATACTGGAGGAGACGCAGGAGGCCATTGAGTATCAGAAGGTTATGAGAGTCAAATTCAGTCCACTTAACATTCAGAGCGATGCTAAATGGACTTAAAACACTTAGAAATGAATGAAAGTCATTGCATTACATAACACAATGAAACAAAACCAGGTGGCATTTATATTGAAGAAAGAGCACAAGCATGTACATGTATAACATGTCTATAGTTAATGTGATATGCAAAGTTTGAGGTCAGTTAAGAAATTAATATTTTTATTCAGCCAGGATGCATTAAATTGATCAAAAGTGACAGTCCACTCTCAGAAAGTGGAAAGCAGCACAACTATTTTCAACATTGAGAATAATAAGAAATGTTTCTTGAGCAGCAAATCAGCATATTTATAGTTATTTAAATTGTAATAATTAGTAATAGTTAGGTTTTTTACTATATTTTTAATCAAATAAATGCAGCCTTGGTTGACATATCCACTAAAAAAGTCATTGCAAAAAGTGAAGTTAGATCTGAAAAAATAATAAAATTCATAAATGTTTAAGCGTGTCTTAAGTGTCCAAATGGTTTATGAAGCCACTGCAAAAGCAGGTCTAATAATGATTTTTCACTATTCAGAAAATTGTGTTCAGTTCAAACTTCCCTTCCTTCTATTATAGTCCTGGGCTGCGTTTCTCAAAAGCAGTGTGAGCTAAGTTGATTGTTGCAACTATTGGTGGCAATGGTTCTACAATCTACTTAGGCTTACGATGCTTTTGGGAAATGCAAGTCCTGGACATTGGCCATACTGCTCTTTCCTGGTTTTTATTGCTTTGAATGTCTAACTGCTTCTTGAAACTTCTTCCCTTAAAGCAAATTGATGAACTGCTGGCAGGTTCTTTGACACCGGAGGATGAGGATGCTGTGTTAGCAGAGCTGGAGGCCATCATTCAGGTGTGGAGACCTTTACCTGTCGTCCATGCTGCCAGATATCACTCGCTGCTAGTGCATAGCCTGTGTCTAATCTAAGGCTACTCTCTCCATCCTGAGCAGGGAGAAGACATCACACTTCCAGAATTACCCACAGATCCATTGCCAGCGGTGCCTAAGGGGGAGACAGGTGTTGTTTTAGTATTGTCAAACACAGCACTGTGTGAGAGAATGACATGGCTCTCTTATTTGGCTTTTGATTGCTTTCTGTCACCGCTTTGTGCTCTGTGTCTTTGCAGAAAGAAAAGAGGCACAAATCAAGCCGGAGCGAGAGATGCTGGCAGCGTAGTGTTCGATCCTACAACCTGGCTCATCACTCTGTTTTGAATGAAAGGAAGAGCTAGGGGAATATAATTGGCAGAAAAGAAGGCTTTCATAGGATATTTAATAGGCATGCATCAGAATCAGTGTTCACATGGTTATGGAAAACTTAGAAATGTCAGGGAATTTTACATTTGTGATTTTTCAGACTTAAAAAAAAAAAGTAATGGAAAACAATGGAGTCGTGGTCAAGAAAAAAGTAATGGAAATTTCTTGTTCATTGATTATAATTGGCTATAGTGTTTTTATATTGCAATTATACTTGTAAAATATTTAAAATTATATTTAAAACATTTACTTTTAAAAGTAATTATATAAACCACTTGAAATGTCATGAACAATAAAAGTTGGTCAAACCATGTAGAATTGAAATGCTGTTACAGAGTTTACAGTATTTTCTTAATGTAAAATCAACTGTTGTTAGGTAAGTGGGTAAGTTAGCTAGAAGCATGACAGTTCACATCAATTAATATTTGGTTTTGTTAAATTAAATTAACAACCTATGAACTATGTGCTCTGTTATGTGGCACTAGTAACCGTGACTGTTTTTATTTTCATTTTTAAATGCAAAAAGGGAACCCAATTGCTACAACACTTTAGCCAAGTATCTTTTTCATTGCAACCTAACACACAACTATAAAGTAGCCTGTAGCATTGGTATTTAAGCAGTGTTAGCTGTTTTGCTAATTTCTGCTGGACTAGCTTTAGTGGACCTGGACTAGGATTATTGATGATGGGTCATTTTGAATGAATCTTATATGGAGTACCAATTTATTATTCCAAAAAAGGTTTATAGGACTTTTACAGATGTGGTTTAAACAGAGTGCTTTTTAAGCCTGTTCATGTACGCAAACCCTAAAAGAGTTTGGGTTACAATCTGTGTATCTGATTCTGTAGTAAGATTAAGTTCATTTAGTGGTCGTGGCTCTTGCAGATGTGTGTTAGCATGTCATGACCAGCAGGGGGCTCTTCATATCACTAATTGAGATGAAATAAATCTGTGCTGACAAGCACAAGATAAATCTGCTCACAACTACCAATCGTCTTCCGATGACTGAGTTTGTGATTAATGTAGACATTCTGTTCATCTATGGATGTATATATATATATATATATATATATATATATGTTTGTATCTGCGTTTAATACTGTAATTATAAAGGTTTTTCTTCTGGCTCTCACGGCCATGGAAAACAACCTGTTTTCTGCCGTTTCTTACATATAACGCAGCTAAACCTGACACATAAAACATGAAAAAACATTGAAGATGCATGTCCAGCGGCTGTTAGACAACTTACGTCTGGGAGGAGGCGGGCGCAGGTAGAACGTTGCCACGCCCCCAGGGCGCGAGTTAGAACACGGGGCGGTGCTACGCTTGTAAGCCCCACCTCCATTCCAATGCCTCCGCTCGGTTCTGTTGAGCTGAGATCAGACGCCTGTGGATCAGAGCGCGGATCTGCAGCTGACCCTTATCACACAGACACACTGTTCGGATAACCCATCACGTTCAGCAAAACACCGTTTATGGTTTTAACTGAAGATTTCACAATGTCTCGCACCGACGAGGTCCACCGCATTACGGAAAATGTCTATAAGGTAAAGTGCATTGATCCAACTGATGGAGCAACTTACTGATCACAGGTGGTGATCTAACAAGACTTGAGGAACGAAAGTGCATACTTTAGATATGAGTTATTGTCTTTGTTCGTTGTACTGCATAAGATGATTCTCTTGAGTGGCTTTACGTTGAGATTTATCATCGTTAATGAACTTGATGGGAGATCAAGTTTCTTGTTCGTGTTGCTCGTGTCATTTAAATGAAGCGCACCGTGAGAACAGAAGTGCTTTGCATTGTTTTTTTACTTATCTGCCAGGATAAGAACATAACCCCCCCCCCCTCTCTC